CCATATTTTAAAAAAATCCACTTCCTCCCAGGCCACCACTGGTTTGGGTGTCTTTCTCTGTCTGTTTCATCTGTCAGTCATTAGCATTCCACAGATGTTAAGTACATCTAAACCATAGAGAGAGAGAGAGAGAGAGAGAGAGAGAGAGAGAGAGAGAAAGTCTTGGGACGAAGAGACGAGAGAATAAGCTCTTTCCCCTGTGCAGACTTCCAGCAGCAGAAAGCCAATTTTTTATAGAAAGCAACTGCTGACTCGGAGCTCTATCTCTGGCGGCTCAGTAGACAGCTGCTGCGGGATGGCTCGGTGAGAATCGCAACGGTGTAGAGAAAAGACAACTCGAACGCTGAGCTTCCTGAGCCGCATCCCAATCCTCAATATTTTTATCGGATTTATGGGTTATGAGCTGCGGACTGTGACCACAGGGATTTCTACAAGCTGCTTAGAATTCGGGTGAGTTCAAACATTTCAGAAGTTTCCATGAATCGAGCCCGTCCCGGACTCTCGCTGCACTTTCTAAACAGCATTCAAAATCCAGCTAAAGGATTAAAAAAAATATGACAAAGTGTTTAGAGGTTCTTAACAGGTTTGGAAATCCGATGAACTCGTGTTTTGTGTACTTGCTGCCTCTTGTCATTGTAAAATTTGCCCTTTGTTCACATCAAATTTTTGCAAATTTACCAAATTTCGTAAAGTTCGCTACCAGATCAGCAATTTATTGTCTTCTTTGTGTGTACTGTAGTGCAATATATTCCCCAATGTGTGCAGTGAATGTTTCTAATTTTAAGGGATGATGCAGTCAATCATTTGTGCATTTCCCCCCCAAAAAGTGCATTGTAGGTTATTCTGTAAAAAATTAACCAGAGCAACTGGACCTTCTTTTTCTTTATGCTGGTCATCCGACTAGCTTTCTCAATTCAGAAATGTCTTCAAGAAAATACAGCAAGTGCAGTTGCTTTTGTTTCATTTTTACAGATATGTCATGATCTGGATGAATGAGAACCTTCACAGACATTGTGAACATTTGCCTGAATTTCCAGGTCAATTTTATGTTTTGTCTATTGTGTGTTTGTTCTTAGTTTTGAGGAACTTTGAAGGAAATGGGTCAGCTTTGTGAATAGCTACTGTGCAACTTAAAATGAACACAGCTTGCTTACGACTGGTTGGAATGCATTGGTTTGAGCTATGTTGGTCTCTGAGAACTGTCATCAAGTTTTTGAGCAGCACCCAAGTTGGTTGTGATTGATCATGAGGTCTACTGACCCGTGGTGGGAGTCATATTCCTTCACAGTGGCTGCAGAGTCCATGGTCAGCTGTGGGATCTTCATTTGTTGGGAGCAAACACTGAAGACCGTTGCTGTTTTTAGATTTTATCAGGACTGTAGCCTTCCCTATGTGTTGGTGATGATCTCCTACAGAAAGAATATGACTGCTACTTTCTCTAAAGTAGACGGGAAGTTGTCTATCATCTTGGGACCTGTCTCTGCTGGTCATGTGACTCATTTGAAGGACTTAAAGGAGAACTATGAGGTGAGTGAAAATCACTCATCCTCATAGTTCGAGCCGACGCGTGACAATGAAACTGTCGCACGTCGGCTCAATAGATCGGGAAGTGAGAGAACACATACCGGCGCTCGCTCACTTCTCGATCCTGTCCCTGCAATGCCCTCTGCAGGGATTCCCCCCTCCCCGCTCCGATCCTCCAGCGCTGACTCGAGGGAAGTACTGGGGAGGGGGCTGGGTGGATCTCAACAGTAATGTCGGGATCCGTCCCGGCTGCGGCGGTCTCAGTATACCGCGAGCTGTAGCTTGCTATATAGTGAGCTTTGGGTCACATGAGGATGCTAGTTTATGTCCTCCCGTGACCCTTAGGAGAACTATGGGGAAAAACACTGACCCTATAGTTCTCCTTTAACCAGACATTTTCTGTCTTCTCAGCTACAAGATTAAAAGCTGGCCAGGTCACATAAAGATTTTCCAAAAGATTGGAAACTCATTGTGAGAGACAAAGAGCACTTCTAACAGTTGCAATGGTTATGAGAACCCTGTAGAATGACTCTATATCAGTGGTTCTCAACCTGCGTAACCTCAGGACCCACATGTGTCCTTGGTCATTAGGTCGTGACCCAAGTCGCACTCCAATGGAACGCATTCTGGTCCGGATGTACAAACTGTGGGTGGGAGGTGCGTTTGAGGTACCATTCAAATGAATGGAAACGCAACACACCTCCCACAACAGGTTGGATAGGTTGGACTTGATGGACATGTGTCTTTATTCAACCTCAAATACTATGTAACTACTGTATGTAACAGAATGCGTGGTAGGTGCGATTTTGTGATACAGTGTGTTATTTGCATGGGACTGTACTATTAACGCACTGTACTGGTGTGAACGGCCCCTCAAAAACACTGACATACATAGACAATCCCACACACACACTCCAAAAACATTTGTTTCCCCTTTTTTAGGATCCAACCAGTCTCCCTACCTTATGAGAACTAGAGTGATTCCTTAGCCTGGGGTCCAGTGTGGGCTGCTGTGCTGTGATGGAGCTCCATCCATATGTGCGTTGCTTGTACAGCTCCCTTGAGTGCCATGTAGAGGTGTCGGGAGCCAGAATGTGACGTCACTCCGGTCCAGGCACCTCTACAGGACACGTGAGGAAACTGTAAGCAATGCATGCATGGATGGAGATCCTTTGCGGCCATACCCCCAGCCCACACCACCTCAAGCTGACACTCAGCGCCATATAGCTGCGCTAGGAGGAGGCTAAGGAACCTCTCACCTAGAAAAGTGGAAGGCATGTGGCGACCCACTGAACACAGGATTCCAACCCACTTTTGGGTCACGACCCACCAGTTGAGAACCAAGGCTCTATATGGTCCAATCCTCATGGCAGTGTGATAGCGGTGTCATAATGGTGACATAGTTGGACCTTATAGCAGGCGTGGACAAATTAATATGGAATTCCGTTTGTCAATTCCAGGAGCCAGTAGGATTTTGTTTAGGAGTCAAGTCCATGGACAACATCTAGAGAAAACCTTGGTTGTCCATGGACAACCTAGAGAAGTTAGGTGCCAGCTGTAACTTTTAAGAAACATTGGCTACCTGACTCTTGGGATTTAGTATAGTATATCTAAAGCCAATTTTTTGGGGGGTAGGGAATGTTCTCAATGGAATGGTTAAAAACCCAACAGGTTTTTTTTTTTTGCCATCTGTGTCTCATTGGAGAGATTGTCCTTCACCTTTTGTACTGTAGGAATGTAGTTATGTCTCCAGGCATCCTGTCAGTCAATATCAGCCTTCTTACAGCGCACCAGAAACAACCACTTACAGCCAGAAAGTAGGTACTTGAGTTTCCTGCCCACCCAACATCCGTGCAATGAGAATGCATTATCGACCACTGTGTCACTGTTATTGGGTTGGAGTTCCATGCAATGAGAATGTTTCAAGTAAAGGTAAAGTTTCTAGCATACTCACATAATAAGAGCAACTTACAGGGATATACCAGGAGTGGGGTTTGAACCCACGCGGATATACATCCATTGGATCTTAAGTCCAACGCCTTAACCACTCGGCCATCCTGGTATACTCAGGCTAACCTTTAAAACAGTAGGCAAAGAGGTTACTTTTGCTTGTTAGTACAGATTCTAGTACTTGTGAAAATGCGGCGATACTAAGTGCCGATACCTGCACTTAAAATTTTAATTGAAATTGAATAGGTTCTGCTGCCTGAGGTCCCACACTTCCTCAGACAGCAAGATATATATCCATTGGATCTTAAGTCCGATGTCTTAACCACTCGGCTGTCCTGGTACATGTGACCTTCCTGATTGGAAGGGAAGCCTGTGAATGTCTATAGCCAGATTTACTGACAAGATCACCAGGTACAATTATTGGCAATAGAGACGGAGGGTGCAGGTCTTTCAGGGGCCTGTCCTGATGTCGGGGGGAGGAGCTGTGGCCTTAATGGATCTTTTTCTTTCCCCCACTCAGGGGGTCCCTCTTCAGGAGAGCCACTACCTAGTACTTAGTGGATCGGCTTCAGCTGTTCCCTAAGGATTGGGGGTCCGTCTGGCTTAACAGCTAGGTGGACTAGAGTAACATGCCCCTGTCAGGAGTCTTGCATTCTTTTCAGAAGAGGACCAAGCACCCTTGTGCACTTTTTTTGTGTGCGGTGATTTCACTGTTTACTTTGTATTTTGTTCACAGGGGTTTGTTTCACAATGCACACAGCACAGAGCTTAATATATATATATGTATATATGTGTGTATGTATATTTGTTTGCCTGTGGCATGGTTGAGAATATGGGAGATGAAGGCTGTTTGATGTGAAATCCGAAGCCCTGACTTTCCTACTGTTTGTCCATAACATGATGAAATAATGAAGCCATGGGGAACCCACAGGGGCCCAGGCAAATGCAGACATCACATCATCGCCAAGGTTAATTACATTAAATAAGAAAATACTGCAGCAAGAGAACATCTCCTGTTGCTTTCCAGAGATAAGTTTTCCTGGTTTTCCAATTGTGAAAAACAGAGATAACCATACCAGGAGTGGGGTTCGAACCCACGCGGATATACATCCATTGGATCTTAAGTCCAACGCCTTAACCACTCGGCCATCCTGGTGTTGTACATTGACATACTGGGGGAACCTGTCAGTCATCATAAGCCTTCTTACAGCTCACCGGCAGCTACCACTAACAGCCAGAAAGAAGGCGCTTGACTTTCCTGCCTACCCAACATCTGTGCGATGAGAATGCGGTACTAAACACTGCGTAGCTCTTATTGGGTTGGAGTGCCCTGCAATGTAAATGATTAAATGGTCAGTAAAGATAATTCCCACAAACTCCCAGTGTAAGAACAAGTTATAGTGATAAACCACGAATGGGGTTTGATATGCATCCATTGGATCTTAACTCTAACACCTTAACCGCTTGACCCTCCTGGTGCATATGAGATGCGGCTTAAAGTGAACCTGTCAGTCAGTATAAGCATTCTTATAGCTCACCAGCAGCTACCATTAACCGCCAGAAAGCTAATGTATGTGCTTGAGCTTATGTTTAGGTCTATCTAGCTAACATCTGCACCATGGGAATGCCTTATTGGGTGGGAATAACATGCAATGAGAATGTTACAATGGCCGGTAAACATAACATGTTAAACATGACTCACATTGATGCAACTTTATATCAGAAGCAGGGTTTAAAGCCATGAGAATATCCTGGTATACATTGCTGGTTTTTAAAGTGGCCCAATCAGATTGCATTAAATCTGCAACTCCCATTGGTTGTTTCTTCTGTGCGCACCTATGATCTGGGTGTCACATTGATACCAAGATCTTTAGTTTACCGACTGCCCTACCTTATTGACTACTGTGGCACTTTTGTTGTCTCATGTGTCACCATAGAGAACATTTATCACTAACATACACTTATTGTAGCTTATA